TTCTTTAAAGCATTCTTTTCTTGTTTCATAATTGTAATATCTCTTTCATTTTCTTTCTCTCTAAATAACTTTTAAAATTTTATTCACTTACTTGAGAGAGAGCGAGCGTGAGTGGGGTGGGGGAAGGAGCAGAGGGAGAGGGAGATGCAGATCCCTGCTAGTAGGGAGCCCAATGTGGGGCTCCATCCCAGGACCCTAGGATCATGACCTGAGTTGAAGGCAGGCACTTAACCATTGAGCTACCTAGGCACTGCTATTCTTTTTAAATTTTATTCATGAGAGACACACAGAGAGAAGCAGAGACACAGGCAGAGGGAGAAGCAGGCTCCCTGTGGGGAGCCCAATGTGGGACTGGATCCCAGGATCTCAGGATCATGCCCTGATCCAAAGGCAGATGCTCAACCACTGAGCCACCCAAGTGCCCCTAAAGAGCTTCTTTTAACACTTCTTTCAAGGCAAGTTTACTGGCAGCAAATTCCTTCAATTTTTGTTTGTCCATGAAAATCTTTAGTTCTCTTTCATTTTTTTATTTTTTTATTTTTTTTATTTTTTATTTTTTTTAAAGTAGGCTCCACATCTAGCATAGAGCCCAATGGGGAGCTTGAACTAACAACCCTGAGATCAAGACCTGAATTGAGACCAAGAGTAGGACACTTAACTGAGTCACCCAGCACCCTCTCCTTCATTTCTGAAGGATAATTTCATAGGATACAGAATTCTTTCAATATTTAAAATATTTCACTCCATTCTTTTCATGCTTATATGGTGTCTGAGGAGAAGTCAGATGTAATTCTTATCTTTGCTTTTCTGTAGGTATTCTCCCCACTTCCCTACCCAAACCACCCCCAGCCCTTTCAGGTTTTTTCTTTAAAGATTGTATTTATTTATTCATGAGAGACGCACAGAGAGAGGCAGAGGCACAGGCAGAGGGAGAAGCAGGCTCCTTGCGAGGAGCCCTATATGAGACTCAATCCTGGGACCCGGGATCACCTGACCCAAAGGGAGATGTTCAACTGCTGAGCCACCCAGGCGTCCTGAGGGCAGATCTTGTGAAAGAACACACCACTTTGCACATTTCAAAAATGGTTTCTTCTACTCTCCCCTCCTGGAAACTTAAGAGGATTATCTGGTGTTAACTATGAGAACCTGTAGAACTCCAGAAGGTAAAATGCACAAAAGTGAGTTCACTCTCATGACTGGGTCCCCTGTGTTTTTCTCTCTCCGATTTGTGCACCCTGAGCCTCCAGCAATTTATCTGTTATATTTCTGGTTTCCCTAAGCTCGTGCTGGTTCCTGTGCAGGTTTCTGCTGGTGAGTTCCTGCCCTGTACGTGTCTGTCTTTGTCTCCAGTTTTGGGGGAAGTGGTGTGACCTGTAATCTGATATCTTACAGATTTAAGTAAACTTTTCAGTGTGTGTAGCTTTTTACTTGTTAGGATGGAGTGGCCACTCCCAAGCTTCTTATATTCTGGACTGGAAACATATCAATTTCATGTTTAATGGAAGAATGACTGAATGAGTCTTGTGCCTATTCCCTCCAAGGAAACACAAAGTGTTCCTTCACAGGACAGTGTCTCTGGCCTTCTTCAATGCCTACTGAATTTTGTTTTTCATTGTATCATAGCAGTGAATTATTACTAAATCTGGATTTGGAACTTCTAATCTACATCTAGCACATGAATCTACACAATTGGACTTTGTGATTATTTGGCCTGCTTCCCCCACTAAACTGGAGGACAGAATCTAGAGGTGGTCCTAACCCCAATATAGGGGCATCACTCATGGGTAGCAGACGGCAGCCAAATCACCAGGACCCCCAGTGACTCAGAGATCAGGAATCTCAGCTTTCCAAAGAAGACATTACACAGAGATGACCCCTATTGATCAAAATAAGAAACTGCAGTCATACACTCCTTCCATACAGGGAAATGATCCACGTAACCCCTGCCAGCTTCCAGGCACTTCACATGTTATTATGCCATTTGTCCTTGAATTTACAATATTTACATCTACAAGGTGAGCACCATCACTATCATTCTCACTTTAGAGTTGAGAAAAACGGTTGAAATAAGTGAACTAATTTCATGAGTTTCCGCAGTGTAAGAAGCATTGCTAAGACCCACCCCAGGTCTGTCCTGAGGCTAAAGGCTTTGCTCTACCAGTCCCCTGCTACTGAAAGTGTGGCCCAAGGACCAGAGCATGGGCAACACTAGAGCATCAACAATACAGACTTCTCAGGGCTCCTGTGGGGCTCGGTCTGGTGAGCATCTGACTCTTGGTTTTGGCTTAGGTCATGATCTCAGGGTCAGGAGACTGAGACCTGAATGGGGCTCTGCGCTTAGCGAGGAGTCTGCTTAGAGTTCTCTCTCTCCCTCCCCTCCTGCCTCTTCCCCACCTCATTCTCTATCATAAATAACCTTAAAAAATCAATACAGACTTCAGGCAGGCTCCCTGAATCCACACTTGCTGAATTGGAATATGTATCCTAAGGAGATAAACATTTTTATCTGAAAAAAAGATTTTTTTTATCTGTACCTTAAAGGTTGAGGAGTACTCTGACTCCCAGGGAGTGATAGGGAAATGCCAGTTTGCCTTCCTGAGGAGACACTGAGTTCTCCTATTTATTCTGTGAATGTGGATTTCTGGCTACAAAGCACTTCTGTCATTTTTCATGTACTGTCTCTACATTGGCTCCTTTTTCCCCTGGGAGGTAAATAAGGTCAGTGATTATCATTCTGATTTTAGAACTGGGAAAACAGAAGCCCAGGGGGGTGAAGCAATTTACCCAGAGCCACTAGTCAGCAGGCATCCCAGCACTTGACATGGATTGGCTGGGAGTACGATCCAAGGGTTCCCAGATCTGGCATCGGCACCAGCATGGGGACCATAGGTTCCAGAACTTGCCTTCAGGGGTCAGAAACCACTAGAGAGGGCCTTTTGCTCACTTGTTTATCTATGCATGATGAGTGCTGAGTCCAATTTTGCTACCTGCATGTCCCTGAGCAAACTATGTGATAATCTCTCTTAGCCTTGTCTTCAGAGCTATTGTAAAGATCAAATGAGGAGGATGCAGGTGAAGTGCTGGCACAAGGTAAGAATGCACAAATATTTGTTGCTATTCAATCATTTGCTCCCCAACTATAGGACACTTGCTTACTAAGTGCCAGGCTCAAGGCTCTGGGCTAAGATACCAGATGGATACAAGTGTTCAAAAAAACCAAAGGCCCAAGGTTGAGTCCTTTGCCCCTAGGCAGCAAAATGAGATTTAGATGCAGTTTAAGCCTCCCCCAGAACTGTCTTAACTGATCAGTTAGGAATTTTCTGGTCAGCACCAAGGAGGCAATCTGTCATCTGGGCCTCTCAATCCCCCAGGGAAGATGAAGTAATCCACCTAAGCTCCCTGCCCTCCTTCCCTTTAAGGGAAGGTGACTTTGCCTGAAGCAGTCTGTTCTTTTCTTTCACTAATAACCAGTTTGTCCCACTCCTCTTCCCATAAAAACCTTCCATTTTGCACAACTCCTTGGAGCCTCTCTATACTTGGATAGGATACTGCCCAGTTCATGAATTGCCTAATAAAAACCTTATTAGATCTTCAGATTTACTCAGTTGAATTTTTTTTTTTTTGAGAGAGAGGGGGTGGGAAGGGGCAGATGGAGAAAGAGAGAATCTTAGGCGGACTCCATGCTGAGCAAAGAGCCCACCGACGATGTGCCACTCCATCTCACAGCCTGGGATCATGACCTGAGCTGAAATCAAGAGTTGAACATTTCACCAACTGAACCACCCAGGTGCCCCTAATTTTTTTTTTTTGAACAAGAAATATGCCCTTGCTCCCATGGAGCTTAGTGTAATGGAGGATATATGATCAAGTGCTTATAAGTAAGGTGAACAAGACTGGGAATGTCTTGAGTATCATGAATGAATGGATGATTGTTTGCTTTTAGCATAGACGTAACCTTTTCTTCTCTCTGTTCACTCAGAGAAAGTGAAACCAAACCTCAAGTTCTGGTGTCCAGAGTCCTGTGTGAGGCATGGCCTGAAACTGTCTCACCCCTCTAACCCTTCAGAAGTACTGGGCCACTTCATTAGTATTTTCCCCCCTGGAGAGTCCCCACTCCCACCAGGAGGGAAAGGGAGCATGGTGGGAGATGAGCTGGTTAAACTTGACCCTCCAGGCAAGTCTCATCCTTGCTCTCCTACACTCACATGATAATCCCATAGACAATGGCCACTTTTCAGTTCTTCAAATATCAAGTGCCAAATTCCAAATTCCTCCCCACAGGGCTTTTGCACATGCAGCTTCCATGGTTTGGAAAGGTTTCCCTATCTCTCTTCATTTAGTTTATCCCTACTCATCATCCAGGGGCCAGCTCAAATGTCACTTTCTCCAGGAAGCTTTCTCTCACTCCCCAGACAAACTTCAGGCCCCCAAATACCACATTCTGTATATTCTCTTCTTGGCACCTATCACAATTTGTAAGTATGTACTTATTTGACCACTTGCTTAGCAGTTTGAGAATGGAGCTGCATACAGCTGAGTATCTTGCAGCCCTGGAAAGTGCCTGGCTCCACAACCAGGACAACCAGGGCCTGCTTAACACATGCCTCTGAAGGGACGAGGGTGGTTGTTCAGGCAGGAGTCTGAAGCTCATCGCAGAATGTGAAGTCAGTGAGCCCTGCAGCATGCAGGCCAGTCTGAAGGCCTATGGTGTGGGGAAGACAGGAGGACTTGAAACAAGGCAGTGGCTGTGGGACAGGAGACCAGGGCAAACTGTCAGGTTGGCAGGTAAGGGCTGGTGGGATGTGCAAGAAAGAGGAGGCATCTAGAACCACTTGTATGCTCCCATCTTGGTGAAGGGAACATAGCAATACTCATGCCTGAGACAGGGGTCAGAGTCGATAAGGCCAAAAGTCCCCACCCCAACCCCTACCCCCGCAGCCTATTTTCCTGCTGTCAGTGGCTTGGATTCTGTCCCCAGCACCAGACATAGGCCACACAGCTCAGCAGCACAGCCTCTTTTTATTAACCACCCTCTCTGGTATGAATGCGTACAAGTAGAAAAGAAACAGTAAAATACCCTGGAGGGGAGGGCAGAGCAGGGGGCTCCTGAGGTTAGGCCAAGTGGCCAGATTCCAGCTCCTTTTCCTGACTGGTCTGTTTTGTGTGATGACTCCCCTCACATCCTCCATTCCTCGGCTGAAATCCAACATTAGGAAGCTGTTCAGCCCTGCTGACTGGACCATCCTAAGCTTGGCAGGGATGGGCACTGGAAGGGCCTGATGCTGAGTACCGGCTAAGAGAACACAGCAGCACTGGTCTGGCCCCAGGGGCTATGGGTGGATCTGAGGAAAGGCAGGTCATCCAGTCTGGGAACTGAGCAAAAGTCTATCCGGCCACCAGCCAGCCAGCCAGCCTCTGCTTCTGCGATCTTACAGCCCTGAGTGGTGGGTTGCTGGGTGGGGGTCCTGCTCACCCCTGGAACAGAGGTTTTGAGCAGAAGGGGCCAAGGAAATGTTGGGAGTTCCAGGTGGAGGAAGGCTGATTCAATGCCTGGGATTGGTCAAAGTGAACAGCGAAAAAAGGAAAAGTGGGACTGCAGACCTGGAAAGAAATGTCCCTCTTCTCCCCACCTGGGGCACAATCCATGTGTGACCTCAGTGTGATTGACAGATTGCTGAGGCCAAGCCTGGTGGACCTGTGGAGCTGAGAAAGCTGGCAAGAGAAGGTCTTGCATACCCCCTACCCTCGGTCTTATGTGAGCAGGAGAGCCTGCACCAGAAAAATGGAGTAGGGAGTGAAGAAACGACGGAGGGAGGGAACAGACAAGATCTGGACTGGAAGGGAAACTTCCAGACTGTTGTGACTACACGAAAATGTTGCCCAGTCAGTGACAACTCAGCTGTTCTTCTCTGTGGGCTATCCTGCTAGGGTTGACAAGGAGAGGTGAGCAGAAGGCTGGCAGAAGAGAAGCAGTCACTGAAAGAGAAGTTATCAGAGAGGCTCACCTTGACTCTGACCAGCCCAGCCTACATGGGTTTGAAAGGTTCTCAGACTTATCACCCTCCCTGTGTCTCTGAAGCACGGGGCACATCTGGAATCTGAGAGAGCAAAGTAGACTTCCTGCCAAGGGAAAAACTAACTGAGGAGTACTCACAGCACCGTGGTGGCACGGTATGGCCCCTGGCCTCTGCTTCAGAGCCGGGCTGGCACCGTTTGTAAACATTAGACTTGATGATGTCTGGGGATAGAAGAAGACAAGAATGCCTGGACTCTCAGGTTTGGGGGAAGAGGCCCCAGGCTGAGGTGGACAAGGCATGACTCTATCTACCTCTGTGCATCTGTATGACTTTTGTGCTACCTTTGGAAGCTGCCATCCCAGAGAAGCCACTGCTGGCCAAGCGGCTGACAAACTGGAGCAATCACTGAGTCTCAGAGTATACGCATGGTTCCTGCTTAGGACAGGCTGCTCTGAGGAGGATGGCGGTGGCCCTTTGTCCACACTCTTTCTCCAAAGGAAAGTCAGGCCAGGTTCTCTTTTCTGAGATGTTCTGACCCTCTTCACCCATGCTTTTCAGGCATGGAGAAGCTGAGAGCTGGCAGACAGGGAAGGTTCTTCTGTGATACGAGACCTCCTCCCTGCATCCTCACACTGCGGGACCACAGAGCAGGAGGGGAGCTGGGTTTGAGCTGTCCAGAGGTAAGAGGCCTGATTTCACTCCAAAACTGTCCCTGGAAAAGGATGTCCAGATGTCATCCCATCAGGAAAGGGGAATGATGCTGGACTCAGAGTGGTCCCACAGCTCTGAGAGATGGGCTTCTGGGTTCAGTGGCAAAGGCCATGTGTTGCCTGGGAGGCAGCTGTTATGCCAAGAGATCCACAAAGATGGCGTTGGTTGTGGTCTGGCCGAAGATGAAGGCTCCCAGGGTCACCAAGAGGATACCATAACTGACCAGCGCCCACCAGCTGTAGGGCAGAGGGAGAGAGGGACCTAGTCAGTCAACCTACCCTTGACTTTGCAGATATATATATATCAGTTAATTGCTGTAATTACTTATCCCACTTCTTTACAATTAATTATTGTAATTATACCACTTCTCCTGTGGGTAGAGCACTTCCTACTTTTTTTTTAAGCACTTCCTACTTCTAAGTGACTTTTCATATAAAGGCATGTGAGGCCAGGTGTGTGATCCCAAGACCATGGGCCAGAAGACCAAGACCTAATGGGATTTATTGACTGGTCATAGTAAGCCAAGGACAGAACCAGGATTAGAACACATGTCTTCTGATGGAAATAGGTTCAGGAAAAAGCAGTTCACATGGAGTATGATCCACTTCATTTACAAAAGAAAGCAGACATCTGTAAATCTATGTATCAAAAACAGCAACAAGGAATTAAGAGGGTACAACAGGGCATCGAGATTAGGGTGACTTTATTTTTTAATTTTTTTTAGGGTGACTTTAATTTTCTTCCTCAGACTTGTATTATTAAGGTTTTCTATAATGAATATTACTAGCACAATTTTTTTTCTTTTTCTTTTTTTTTACTAGCACAATTTTTTAAAGAGCTTGCAGCAACCTGTTTTCAACCTCTATACTATTCAAGGAAATGTGGATATTAAAACAATGTCATGTTTTTCATCTATCAGACTAACAGTTATTTAAAAGCCTGTTCTATACAGTACTGGCAGGGATGTGGAGAAGTGAGCACTCTGCTGCTAGAACTCTGACTGGTACTGCCTTTCTGGAGGGAAATTTGAACCCATGTGCAAAGGTAAAAATGAGCATTTCCCATGATCCAGCAATTTCCTTCAAAGAATTGATCCTACCAAGATCCTCAAACCAGGTGTGCCAAGATGTACATGTCTAAGAGTATTCATACATTCATCAAACAGAATGCTCTGCAGCCCTCAAAAAAGGGAAGAAGTGGACGGATCTTCTTGTGCTGACACAGAGTGATCTCCAAGACACATGGTTGGTTAAGTGAAAGAAAGCAAGTGGTAGAAAACTTTGGCCTGAAGCCATTCTTGGAAAAACCAAACTAGACACACAACCTCACATGCTTGTGTATACATATGCCTAGTTTATGTACACAAAGCTCTCTCAGGAGAAAGGATACAGTGGGGAGTCGGCTGTTGGGGCAAAAAGGACTTCCACTCTTTTCTCTAAAGTTTTTTAGTAGCAATTTGAACAGTTGGAAGCAGCATGTGCCACCTGGTCTTTTAAAACTGTATTTAGAAAACTCTTAGGTTTTTTAAGTATACAAGTCTCTTGATCCTTCCCTGTTTTAAGCCTCCCTGCCCCTACTGGACCATCCCTTGTCCAGCACCTCCCTGACAGGACCATAGATGTGCCCGGCTTTACCTGGCTGGCTTTACTTCTTCCATCTCAGAGAGTTTGGCTTGAATGAGGCACAGCCCTGGAAGAGAGGAGGTGGCCCCAAGAACTCAGGTGGGCTCCTTCACTCAGGCCCACCCACCCCCTTTACCAAGAGGTGGTGGCAATGAATGGACAAAGGCCTCTGTGTACTCGTCCAGATATTCCATCTCTGTCCTCAATCCACACACAGCTGGAGGCCTTGCATCTGCTCCTCCAGAAGAGGCCAGCATCTGACAGGCACTTCCTAGGCTGTACAGGAACCTCAGAGCTAATGGGGCAGCCATGGAAGATGATATAGCAGTAGCCCCCACCATACCCAGGGCCCTTTCAGTTACTTCTAAGAAGTGGTCCCCCTGGTCCAGGCAAAGTGGCAGCAGCTTTCAAGCTGGCCTCTTGGAGAGGAATAAGCTGGGTACAGGTGGAACTCGTGGCTGGGCACACGGGACCACTTCCTTGGAGATCTGGCGGCAGAATCGTGTCTGAAACACAGGTCTCCCGACTTCTGCACCAGACCCCATGGCCGTCTTGCCTATAATGGGCTGAACCAGCTCAACCTCTCACAGTCAGGCAGCAACAGGTATGTGCATGAAAGGTGATGAGTACAGGCTGCACACCCAGACAGACCTGCATCAGAAAAGCTGTTACTCAATACTTGAGTATGTTAACTTCCTCCCATCTCACCAGCAAAGTGGAGATAACACCTGTAGCTTCTTTTCAGGAGGAGCAGGGGTCAGCACAGAGCCTAAGTTGGGTGATTAATAAGCACTAGTGGTAGTTCTTCAGGCAGGAAAGCAAGGGAGGTACTGAGGCTGGGAGAGCCTGGGGGCCAATGCTGTGGGGGTGCCGGGAGTGCCCACCTGGGAAGACAAAGATGAAGCAGGCAGCCAGGCCTCCAATGACCGAAATGACCTTGCCAATGTCAGGGATGAAGAGGGCCAGCAGCAGGGTGAGCAGGAACCAGACCAGTGTCTGCAGCACACGCCGCCGCCGCTCCCGCCCCACGTCCTCCTCCACCGGCATCCCCTGGTAGCGCAGCCATAGGCCTTCGACCACAGCCCTGCCCACAAAGACAGTGGATCAGAGGCCCCTACCTCCAGCTCACGGAGCCAGGCCTCTGAGTGGGTAGACTGGGGGTCTGGCCCTAAGCTCCCAAGCCTGTTTCCTGTTCTGTGAAGTGGGCCTGACAGGACTCTTCCGGTGGTTGCCACGGAGACTGGATGGGATGGTGGACGTGACACGCTCAGTGCCTGGCCTGGCCCCCTGGGAACTGACACTGATTCTCCTGAAAAGGAAGGGTCTGGGAACCCACAAGACTAGGTGTTCAGGAAAGGACTCACAGAAGGTCAAAGGACCATGTCCAAAGGGATTTTGTGAGCCCTGAGAAGAGGAAGCACCCTATGGGGTAAGGAGGAAGCTCACCGCCCGCAGAAGTGCAGGATGGGGTAGGAGGTGAGCACGCTGAGGATGATGAAGGCGCGGGCAACAGCCACGGCCATGTCCTCTGAGGGGTAGGACAGGAGCACATCGGGATCCACGGCAGCCCCAAAGGTCAGGAAGCCACAGATGCCTGAGGACAGGGACAAGAGGGCTGGGCAGGAGCAACCCTGGTAGGGGGAAGGGGGGCGGCCATTCACTCCTGGGTGGCGCACCAGATGGGGAGTGTCCTGGGGCAGCTCTGGAGGCTGGGACCCGAGGCCTCACAGCCCATCCGCACCACCACCTTTGTCATCTTGAGCTAGCCCAGCACATTCTCGTTCCCGTACCCGTGTCAGAGTGTCAACACTCATATTGTCTGCCCAGCCCTTCACACCTCCATCCCCTCAGCGTTCAGGTCTCAGCCCAGGCAGCCCTTCCTCAGAGAAGGTATCCACCCTGTGTGTCCACGATGCTCCTGACACTGGGCACTCACTCACATCACCCAGCTCTACTTTTCTCAGAGCACGCCTCTCTCTCTGCATTTTTTTTTTTTAAACACTTGTTCACTGTGTCTCCCCAGCCAGAACACGAGCCCCAGAAGGACAGGGACTCTGCCTATTTGCCTCTGGCTCCTGGCTTTGTCTTCAGAGGTAGGACTGTGCTGGCCCCATTACACCTGCGGAAGGTCTTCTGTCCTGCTCTGTCATCTAAATCATTCCCCGCATGGCGCCCATAGCCATTTTTTGCTGAGACATGCTCCTGCTTGAAACACTTCCTCTCTAGTTCCCCCAGTCCTCAGGCCCAATCAGACCTATCAGTCCTGTCTGGCCTTACTGCCTGCCACTTGCTCCCAACTCACTCCACTCCAGACCTTTCTGTCTCTGCCTCAGGGGCTTGGCATTTTCTGCCTGTCTGGAATGCTCTTCTCCTAGCCCTTCAGATTCTGGCTCTTTCTCACCACTGGGGCCTCCCCAGATGTCACCCCTTCAGAGAGGAGCCTTCTGTGAACCACTTCTTTCCTGCGAACCATGGCAGCTGTCACCACTTTTCTAGTCCCACTCACATCTCCCCTGTTTGACTGTCACGGTGGCACTCACCACTGCCTGGAATGCTTTACTGATCCCTGATTTACTTTTGTAAGACTCTCTTTAGCTAGATTGTCAATTCCATGAGAGCAGAACCATGTCTGTCAATCTTCGCGGCATCCTCCATGCTGGGAATAGTTCCTGGCACTTACTAGGCACTGACTGAAGCTGCTGAGTGAATGGATGAATATGTCTCTCTCATTTGGGCCCACAGAGGAGGCCCAAAGCAGCCCAGGGTCAAGCCAATGCCTATGGAAGTGTCTGATATGCTGGGAGTGCAGGGCTGTCCCCAGAAGAGCTGGGCCAGGGGACTTGGAGCCAAGGAGGGAAACCAGGAGCACTCCAAGCCCAGCCCTCAGAGGGGAGCACTCACCTGTGCCCATGTAGACAGCGAGGGCTATGACCATGGCGGCTGTCACCACTCCACCCCAGGTCTTCACCTTGGGCCGCTGCATGCTGTTAAAGACGGGCACACTGCTCACATGGCACTGTTAGGGTGAAGGTCACGGTTATGGGGTGAAGTGACCCCTTCCTCAGTTTCCAGAGGGAGGTACTTTGGGGACAAAGGCCACGGGGAAAAGGGACATGTCCCAGGGCCCTGACTCTTTCTTCCCAGGATGTCCCCATCCTCCCTGTAATGTGGATTCCAGCCCAGGGAGGGGGCAGTGAGCTAAGAGGACGACAGGAAACTTGCAACTGGCACCTGAAATCCGAAGCAGATGGTGGGCATAGCATTGAATACGGCTACCCAGGAAGCTGGCCTGTGGACAAACACATAAGAATCTGCTGCCTGTGAACCCCCCAGAGCCACCAACCCATGGCTCATTCCCGTATTCTTCACTCAGCCCACCATGCCCACTCCCCAACCACTATTCCACATGTTCAACCCCCCTAAGTCTGGAAACAGGGAGAGGGAGCATCTCCATTTCACAGGTCATTAAACTGAAGCTCTGGAAGACCCTCCTGGGACCAAAATCTGGAATTTCTGGATCCTGCACTGGGGCTTTTGCTTCCCTTTCTCTTCAAAAACAGGATTTTTTTTTTTTACATGACAAAACAGATTTATACTGTATAGTAGAGAAATTACAGATAAGTTGCAAAAATGTCCAAGTTCACCATGGTAGGCTCCATAAGCAGGGGCCTAGTCTCATGAGAGCTCATCTTTTGGATATTGGTGGCAAAGTCTCCCTGGGTCTGGTTCTCACTCTCCCCTCCAATAAAAAGAGATAAGGACCTCTTGCCTCCTTCCTACAATGACCAATGGGTCAAGCTCTGGTGAGCTAACGAGGCCTGAGAACTTGTGTGGCCTTTTGATGGTGGCCAGCACCTCCACGGGCCCAAGTGGTGGGTTCCCCAGGGGTTCTTACCCACCTAGTCAGGATGTCCCCTGGGGTCATCTCTTTATCTGGCCAGATATATTTGATGATAATGATGGCAGTGACGTACCAGGTGCCCACGACGCTCAAGAAGCTGCCAGAAAGAATGGATTGAGCTTCCTCTTCTCCAGTGCCAGATGTTCTCCGACTCCACCCCAGGAATATCCACCCTCAGCTCTAGTGACCACAGTGTCAGAATGAATTGGGTGACTATTCCAAACAACAATTATTTATTTATTTATTCATTCATTCATTCATTCATTCATTTATTTATTTATTTATTTATTCCCAAACAACGATTTAAAAAAATGCACAAGAAATAGGTTTTAGAGGGGTGCCTGGCTGGCTCAGTCAGAAGAGCATGTGACTCTTGATCCTGGGGTCATGAGTTTGAGCCCCATGCTGTATGTAGAAATAAATAAACTTAAAAAAAGAAATAAGTTTTAGAGAAACTGGTCACAGCTTGGAAGGAGCTAAGACCTCAAGAGGGGAAGAGACTAACATTTCAGACCATTAGGAAATGCACTGGTTCAGCTCCATAGCTCAGACATCTGGGCTTCAAAGCACATCTGTTACTTTGATTAGTACAGCCCACACTTGGTGACAGCTGCAAGCAGGGCCCTTGAGAACCAGGAGCCGTTGGAGGTAAAAGAGTTGAAGATTCAAATACTGGAATGTCAACATTAAAGGGGACCTTAGGAGACAGCTGAGTATGACCCTGTCAATTATGGATCACAGGAAACAGCTCAGAATTACACAGCTTTTCTGACTCTGAGCCAGGAAGCCAGTCCTTTCCCTTCATACCAAGCTGCATGGAGCATGCGGCCAGGCTCAACGATTCCAAATGATCAAATATCCCACTCTCCCTTGGAAAACCATAGCCCTGGCCAGGAAGCTGCTCTCACACTCCTGATTATCATCTGTCCTTCCTTTGACAAGGACATCTGGAGCTGAGTCTTTCACTGATGCAAAGGGCCACTGTCTTGCTTGTTGCTGACACAAAAGTAAATCTTAGGCTGGAAGCCTCACAAGCCCTGGTCCACCCTGCCTTGCCCACTCTTGCTGCCCCCGAAGGAGAGGACTTCTCCAGTAGCGCCTGAGTCTCTAGCTGCCTGTGATTAGAGCTTCCATCCGGCCCAGGTTGTGGTGGGGTCTCCTAACCTGGCATATTTCTGGAAGCCAATCTCTCTGGGGATGGAAAGGGGCAGGATGAAGAGGATGGCAGTGAGGCTGATGGTGAACTTCCGGTCTGTGTACCAGGGGCTGCCACCGCCCCCCTCCGGCTCCTTTGCCATCACAGCTATAACTGCACAGGGAAGAAAGAGGGAACATCACTCCAGGCTCCTATAGGCTGTGACCCTCCTGCTCTGGTGAGACTCAGGGCCTCCATCAATCTAATGGGCTCAGCAGCCAGGAGGCAGGATTTGTAGAAGAATGCTGGATCCAGGCTAGGCCTTGGGCAGCTGTTCATGCCCATTCCCTCCCCCCAGGGATCCCCAGGGTTGAGGGGGAGGTATTGATGGGGAGCCTCACTCTTGTCTTGTTGGTCCCCAATGATGATGAGGAAGGCGATGCAGGTGCCGAAGGTGTAGATGGCAATGGTCACCTCACAAAGTACTCCTGTCAGCTTGCCACACACGGCCCATACCACCTCCTGGTAGGTCCTCTCATTGCTGGCCTGGGAGCAGTAGGCCAGGATGACGAGGCCGCTGATGATGAAGACCAGCATGCCCTGCAGGCAACACAGAGCCAGAGAGTGTGGGAAAGGCCTGGCTGCAAAGGGCAGCCGGGTCTTGTTCAGTATTTACCAGGCCAATGCCCAAAGCCAGTTTGGTAAAGGAGTCGCATCCTGTAGGCAACTGTACCAGATTGCTGGATGCAGCCGAGTTGAGGTTTTCTTTCAAAACAGAAGTTTTGTAGAAAATTTCGAACACACGCAAGATTTGACAGAATTGTATCATGAACTCCCATGCACCCATCACTCAGCTTCAAAAATAATCAATTCATGGCCTATCTTGTTTCTGCTATTTCCCCTCCCACTCTGGATTATTTGGAAGGAAATACAGGCTATTGAATTATTTCACCAGTAAATATTTTAGCATGTAGTTCTAACACATAAGGGACCACTTTCTAGATGTAAACTACAAAATTAATTATGTAGTTGGTGTCTAAACTTCTCTGATTGCTGGGAGGCCTTCTGAAGCCTCATCTGGGCTCAGAGGAAAGAACACTGGAATAGATTGGTAATGTCTGCCAAGTATGAGGGTGGGGAGAGTGGTCACCTGTGTCACTGACCATCTTGGATGCAGCACCTCCCTTCTGAGGTACAGAGCCCTGGCCTAGCACCTGACCTGCATTTCCACCCTAAGGGCCAGCATACTCACCATCTGCAGCGTGACACCAGCTGCCACACCCCCTGCAGAGCTGAAGGCCGCGGGGAAGTTGAGCAGCCCTGCACCTAAGCAGGCATTGACGACGATAAAGATGGCCCCCACTGTGGAAGTGGTGCCTCTACTCAGGCCCTCAGGAGAGGCCTCCCCTTCGCTCTTGGGGGCTGTGTCCACACAGGGACTCTGCAGCAGACGGGCCCGCTCCCCAGAGTCCGTGCTCGAGCCCCACTCGCCAAGGTCACTGTTGATGCTGACCTGGGCCATGGCCCTGGGAGCCCTCTTCTCGCAGGGTCTGTGGATTTGGCCTCACAACCACATCTCCTGGGTAGCTGAGGGAACGCCTTCAGCTGGAGACCAGCAACAGCCTGTTTGGGACTATTATCCTAGGAGGCCTGTGAGCTCCAGCTCTTTTCAACCTAGATGGGAGACAGGTACTACCGTTATCCTGAGATGGGCACAGAAAGCTGAAACAACATTCCCAAGGTCAGATGGCTGAGATTCAAACCCAGGTGTCCCTCTGTGCAGAACACTGCAGTGGGTACCACAGGGAAGGGTGGCAGAGACAGAAATACATCCTCTGCAAATCCTGCTTGCTTCAGGCTTACAGACCCATAGGGTCAATAAGACATAAACATTAAAGAGAGGGGTACTAACACTATAGCACTACAGAGAAGCAGGAGTATCGTAGACATATCTTATCTCATTCAGTCCTTACCACAGTGGTCCTTTTTCTTTCCTTTTTAAAAACATCTTATTTATTTATTCATGAGAGACATGGAGAGAGGCAGAGACATAGGCAGAGGGAGAAGCAGGCTTCCTGGGGAGCCCAATGTGGGACTTGATCCCAGCATCATGCCCTGAGCCAAAGACAGACACTCAATCACTGAAGCACCCAGGTGTCCCATACCACAGTGGTCCTAAGGTTCATTGAGATTGTATAGCTGACCTAGGGTCACATATTAGCAAGAGGAAGAGCAGGATTTAGATCTAAATTTATCTGGCTTCCCAGCCTGTTTCTACTTCACAAGGTTGCACAAGAGCAGCCCTCAGCTAGAACTGTAGGTATTTTTAAAAAAGATTTTATTAATTTATTCATGAGAGAGAGAGAAAGAGAGAGAGAGAGAGATAGACATAGACATATATATATAGAGAGAGGGGCAGAGACACAGGCAGAGGGAGAAGCAGGCTCCCTGCAGGGACCTCGATACGGGACTCGATCCCAGGACCCCGGGACCATGACCTGAGCCTAAGGCAGAAGCTCAACCACTAAGCCACCTACGCGTCCCAACTGTGGTTATTTCAGTGAATTACAGTCCAACATACCTCTTTCTGGTCCAGACTCTAAATTCTGCATAGCTTTCGAAGTCCTTCAAAATTCAAGGCTAATTCTCACTCTTCTCTTGCAACACTGATCTAACCACCGCCCATCAGAGAGACATCCCTTTGATGCCCTCAATACATTTAGAATGGCTAATGAGAAGCTTAGGTAGGTAGTCAGATGCTTCCTATTTCTCCTTCTGGTGATGGCTGAACAAAGGTAGGAATCGTACACTCGTGAGAGGGAAAATGAAGAGTGGGGGTGCTCTCAGACAATTGTCACCAAGGATGCAACCAGGGAACCCAGTTCCAGAGGAAATACCTCTCTGCTGCCTCCAAGTCCAGAAATATCAGTCTGATGCCACAGGGCTTCCTCTTATGCAACCTGTTACCCAACCAGTAACTCAGCCAAAAAAATCAAAGCTGTGAGTAGTGGAGGTAGAGATCTGGGCTCCCAGCTTTCCAGCTGGCTCCAAGGAGAACCATGCAAAGTCAGCACTCCCAGAGCTGTGAGACCTCCGCTTTCACCCGGCTTACATCTCAGACACAGAAGTCTCAGCACTGGTCCAAGAGCTCTCAGCTCTTCTTCCTCAAAACATCCTCAGCTCCACAACCCCCAGCTTACCTGCTATTTCCACCTGATGGCCTACGGTGGAGGGTGTGTTGCTCCTTACAGGTCTTTCTCCCCAAAGATCTGGGATCTGATTTTCCTCACTTCCCTCTATGGCACCAATTTCTTCTTTCTCAAAACTTCACTTAAAACCTGCTGTCAGCAGAAGGAAGAGTTTGAGCTGTTTCTGTGCTGGTCAGCAGAGTGAAGGGAACCGAGCAGCTCTGACGCTAACTCACAGAATGGGAGCACCAGATAGGTCAGGGGAACAGGCCCAGGGAAGAAAAAGGGCTAGACTAATGTCACAGCAGGTAGTTGGCAGAACCAGAACTAGAAGCCTGATGTGCACAGGCTCAGGCCAGAGCTGTAACCATTGCCGTGGGCCCCCGGAGATTCCAATCGGAGCGGGTTCCCTGTACACCCAGGGGCTGGATCCCAGAAATACGCAGGGTGGGCTGCATAGGGAGGTGGGTCAGGGCGTACCCGGAGGGTAGGATGCCCAGGCCCGAAGCAAGGCGACGGGGCTGCGGTGAGGTAAGCTAGGAAGGCGCTCTGGGACGCGATCCGGGCCTAGCACTAGGCGGAGTCAGTCGGTCGGGGCTGCGGCGGGGCCAAGCTGGCCGAGGGCGGGCGGGGGGCCGAGGACGCCCGGCTTCGGAGCCCTGCAGGGAGTGGGCAGGACTCTACCGCAGCGGGGACCCCAAGACTGAACGCTTCCACCCTCCACAGTCCTCCTGCCACCTACCTACAGTGCTTCACACCCGAGCCGGCGGCAGGGACACGTGAGCAGCGGTCACATGACCGCCGGGACTGCGGCGGCCGCGGGAGACGCCGGGAGTTGTAGTTTTCTGCGGCTTTAGTCTTGGACGGCAACAGTTCCTGCAATCCTCAACCCCACAGCATTGACCTGAGCCCCTCTCCGCGCCCAGATCACTATACTTATACTGTTAGTTTTAATCCTGGTATCTTGGTCAAGCCAAACACTTCACTTTCCTCCTAGGAAGAGCATTAGGAGCTTTGGTGTCTTAGCAGTCTCATGAAGTGGGCAAACCTATTTGGCCTCCTTAATCCTTGTCGGTCTCCCTCCTTGCCTTCAGGCTCGCAACCAGAGACCCTGTAGTTTCTTTCACTGAGGACAGGGAAGGACCTTCTGTGCTGTGTGTTCTCTACTATGAGAAGACTGGTCTGAGTGTTGCCCAGGGCCTAGATTCTAAGTTTCTGAGGCATCTAGTTACTCATGTAAATAAATAGTTGCATGAAGGAATGGGTGTCCAGAGCCCTGGCTTCTGTTCTTGGCTCTGTGACATTTGCATGTTGTCACAAAATCTTTCCAATGTACTAGGTCTGTGTTATATGAGAAGATGCTCTCCACTATACCTACCTGTCCATGTGTCAAAGGTCCTCACTAATGAGGGAACACAGGGAATGTCATAGAAACCCATCTTTTTTTTTTTTTTTAAGATTTTATTTATTCATGAGAGACATGGAGACAGAGAGAGAAGCAGGCTCCATGCAGGGAGCCTGCCGTGGGACTCGATCCCAGGTCTCCAGGATCACACCCCAGGCTGAAAGCGGTGTTAAATCGCTAAGCCACCGGGGCTGCCCCCCATCTTTTTTTTTTTTCATCTTTTTTTTAACTGAAATTTTTATTGAGATCACTGTAGATTCATATGCAGTTATAAGAAATAATACAAGAGGGAGAAACAGGCTCCCCTCAGGGAGCCAAAGTGGAACTCAGTCCTGGACTTGGGGATCTTACCCTGAGCCAAAGGCAGATGCTCAACCACTGAGTCTTCCAGGCATCCCGCTCCTGTGTACTCTTTACTGTTTCCCTCAGTAAAGGGCGTTTCCCTCAGTGGTGACATTTTGCAAAACTACAGTACAACAGCCAGGATATTGACATTGACACAATCCACCAATCATATTCAGATTTCCTCTTGTTTAGGTATTTCGTTCTATACAGTTTTTTTTAAGATTTATTTATGTATTCATGAGAGAGAGAGAGAGAGAGAGAGAGAGAGAGAGAGAGAGAGAGGCAGAGACACAGGCAGAGGGAGAAGCAGGCTCCATGCAGGGAGCCCGACGTGGGACTCGATTCAGGTCTCCAGGATCACACCCCCGGCTGAAGGCGGCACTAAACCGCTGGGCCACTAGGGTGCCCCTCGTTCTATAGTTTAAGCACACGTGTAGGGTTTATATACATCTGCACCACATTCAAGATACTGAAAGTTTCCCTCGCCATAAGGATCCCTCCTGTTGCTTTATAACCATACTCATCTTCTCCAGCAAGGCCACCCCTTCCATAACGCCAGCAACCACTAATCTGTTCTCTATTTCTAAACATTTGTTGTTTCAAAAATGTTATGTAAGAGGCTCAGTTAGTTAAGCATCTGTCTTTGGCTCAGGTCATAATCCCGGGGTATTGGGATTGAGTCCTGCATTGGACTCCCTACTCCGCAGGATGTCTGCTTCTCCCTCTCCTTCTGCCCATCTCTCCTCTGCTCCTGCTCTCTAATAAATAAAAACAAAAACAAAAAAAGTTATATAAATGGAATCTAACAGTCTGTAGTCAGGATTGGCTTTCTGTACTCGGCAGAATTCCCCAGAGACATGTCCAAATTGTTGTGTATTAACATGTATTTTATTACGGAGTAGTATTCCATGGTAGGTATATACCAGTTTGTGTGATCACTTGTTGAAGGATATATGAGCTATTAGCAAGTTTTTTAAACATAAGTAACTTTATTGAGCTTTATGCATTTTATCATAAAATTAGAGAGAGAGAGAGAGAGAAAGATGGGGAGAGGGGCATCGGGAGAGGGAGAGAAGCAGATTCCCTACTGAGTGTGGAGCCCGATGTGGGGCTCAATCATGACCTGAGCTGAAATCAAAGGTTGGACACTTGGCACACCTGAGTGGCGCAGTAGTTGAGCATCTGCCTTTGGCTCAGGGCATGATTCCCTGGTCTGGGGAATGAGTCCCGCATCAGGCTCCCTGTTGGGAGCCTGCTTATTCCTCTGCCCATGTCTCTGCCTCTCTCTGTGTTTCTCTCATGAATAAATAAATAAAATCTTTTTAAAAAGAGAGAGGCAGAGACACAGGCAGAGGGAGAAACAGGCTCCATGCAGGGAGCCCGACATGGGACTCAATCCCGTGTCTTCAGGATCACACCCTGGGCTGAAGGTAGCACTAAACCACTGAGCCACCGGGGCTGCCCTAATCTCAACATTTTTAATAAGACTGTCATTTTGAAAAAGTGGGTCTTTCAGGTTGCTAGATATAAATTTATCTATTTAAAAATAAACTAGTAATTTCTTAAAAAAAAATTCCCAAGCTTAGAAGGAAAAAAGTTAAAAAATTTTTTCAAGGAGGATGAATAAGCTGGGCTTTGGTTGTTTAAATGCAAGCCTGAAGCAGTCTAGGTCTACTAGTGCCCAATGGCTGTCCATGGGGCAGCTATATATGAACCATCTAGAAAGTTTTATTTTAAAAAACAGATTCCCAAGCCTTATTTCAGACATACTGAGTCCACATGCCCAAAGGTAAGAACAGGGAACCAGTATTTAAAAAATCAATCCAGATTTGGGAACTATTATACTTTAAATTATAACAGAACAAAAGCATGACTATTCTGAACCACCTCCTCCATCATGTGCAAGAATGTTAACATCTTAGAGCCCAAGAAACATGGAAGGGGTAAAACAAACAGTCTGAACAGTGGGGAAAAGCATCAGGTTCACACCTATCAGGTCTGTTTTCAGTGAGGAATGGGACTTAGTCCAGGGCAAGCTGGTAATACATGCGTTTAAAAATAACAAGTCAGCAGGGTGGCTAAGTTCCTTTTTGGTTGAAGTCTTGGCAGCCAACTTTCAACCTACTGGCCCCAGACAAGGAGACTTAAAGCAGTTTCTCCCAACCTAGTCAGTCCTTTTATGGACTACTGCTTTTCTTTTTAAGATATTTCCAAAGACACCCAGTGATCCAGTCTGTCTACTTCCTTTTACCACCTTGGTATTTTCATTAGCAATAGGAACACCCCCGTCCCTACCCTGTGCACTGTGTCCCTCAGGGAGGGAGGAGAAACAAGAGCTCACTTCCCCCTCCCCCTCCAACTGTCACAACACCACAGATGGGGGATGGGCTCTGGGCCTGGCTCCTGTTCCACTGTGTGTCTGGCCAGGAGCCGTCCCATCTTGAATGGTTCCTAGCACTCAGCAGAAGGGGACAGAATAACCTTGGGCAGGACTGATGCTAAGCAGATGCCACTGCTAAATGCTGACAGAGCACATGACTTCATGCTAAAGGCTTCACACTGGCAAACTACTGTTTGCATCTTTCTGGTAAACCATTTTAAAACAACTGAATTAGTTGCTAACTTTTAAGCATCAACAGAACCCCTTGAAAAACCAGGACTTCCATTTTATTTAAAGACCTTAAGACCTGCAGTCCTGAACATTTTCTTTCAGTGCTGTCACTTCCCTACTGCCCTGCAACACCAAGGGATGAAGGCTATGCACCAGGCATGATCTCCTATTTCACATCACTTTCTACTTTACATTCATACATTCACTGTTTGCTTGTATTACCTACTTGGCTCTTGTAGACACCTAAAGTTGCCACTGCCCCTCCATTTCCTCACTGCTGCTCTATCTACAGGTTTCTTCACAGTATTTCATTTGACCCCACAGTGCAAAGGATCATACCCACATTTTCAACATCGTTGGACTGGACAAGCTGAATGGCAAGACAAACAGAAAGCCATGGCTTTGGTTTACATTCGGAACAGTCACACACCTACTGGCTTACGGGCAGCTGAATAGACTGCAGATTTCTGGGACAATTGGCCACTCCTACCCATTCCCCCATTAAAAGAAAAACGTAACAGAGTAGACAGTGGTGGGGTCTACAGTAACTTTATTTTCACAGAGAAACCAGGCTGCAAGAAGTCTACATGATTGGAGCAGATGGTGGTTATCTTTCCAAAAGGTGAAGCCTGAGTCCAGCTGGCAGCACACAAAGGTTAAAACCAAAGCCCAGATATCTGCTTTCCTAGTTTTGCCCTGCATTGCCCACTCATGATGTGAAATGCGAGACCGCATAACAGTACTGAACGAAGAGGTCCAACCAGGCAGAGGCAACATTCCGACCAGGAGACAATCAATCATTGAAGAGGATGCTGATCTAAGTGCTATTACCTACTCTCTGCTATTCTTTGATGAGAAAGGTGAGGGTATGGGATGAGCAGTAAATTATATTCTTAGTTCTTCAAGTAAGTAAACTCTATAGCATAGGGCAGGTGGCCAATCAAACAGTAGAACAGGATGAAAATCTAGGCTAGTTATAGATCTCTGTGCCTAAGGAAAAGAACAGAACTTAAAATGCCCTAAAGTACTGAAGAAAAAAAAAAAAAGAACCTTATTTCCACTCCCCCAAATAAGACAGGAAATAGCATCTTTTATTTTCCTCACTGCAGTGGCAGCAGACCTGCTAGTTTTCATGAAACATGATTTCTGTAATGAAGTCTGTTGATAAGCTTGCTCATAGGATGACAAACACGAGGCTGCCTGCTGATGTTAGAACGGGCTCTGCTCACAACACTTTGTAGGTGCTATTCTCATACTAGATCTACAGAGGTGCTCCAATACCGCTGGTAAGGGGCTGCAGTTAAAGCTTCTGAAATATTGCAATGGTATGATCAACAGAATTTTTTGGGCTATGTCTTTCTTGTACATGTAAACTCTTTTGGAACAGCTGGAGTTAAAGGAGGGGCAGGAGTTTGGTTTTGAGCCCCAGAGTTTCAGACACCCACCACAGGTGCCTCTGCCCTATTTCACTACACCTTCTTTTCTGCAAAACACATTCAGTGGTTGAGTGTTAACTACTGTAGTTGAAAGAAAAGACCTGATTGCCACCATCCACCCTTCTTCTCCCTCCATGTGAGTCTCACAACAGCAGAGGTTGTAGGCAGGAAGGTTGTCTCTGTTCCCTCTCACCAGGGAAATTACTTGGTAACCTGGTGAATGGCATGGGCAAGGTAGCCCACATTGCCTGAGGTGACCCCTGCCACAGAGATGCGGCCATCCTTTGTCATGTAGATGGAGAACTCCTTGGTCAGCCTCTCCACCTGCAGGGAGACGAGTACAAGAGCACGTTTGAGGCAGGGGGATTTGCCTAGCCTGGTGCAGTAAAACAGGAAAATAACAGAAATAATTTCCTTGCTTAAACCCTGTTCCCAGAATTTGGTGGGCTAGTGTTGAGAGAAGGAAGAAAAACTATTTTATTTTTTTTTCAAAGATTTTTTATTTATTCATGAGAGACATAGAGAGAGAGGCAGAGACACAGGCAGAGGAAGAAGCAGACTCCATGCAGGGAGATGCTCAACCACTGAGCCACCCAGGCGTCCCAGAAAAAACTATTTTAAAGTAGGATGAGAAATTCTGAGGTGTGAATAGGTGAAAAAAACATTCCGTCCAGCATTTCTAGAAACAATAGTTCCAGAATCCAGCTATGGAACAGCTTTGTCTATCAATATTCAGGCTCTTGCTTGCTCTGATATCACTTCAGAGGAGAAGCAAGGGTCACAAAAATGACCAAAACACACTCTGCTCAACAGTGGTTTGCAGCGTCATGGGAGATACAGAGGTGAATGACTAATAACAAAATGAGGGACACCTGGGTGGCTTAGTGTTTGAGCATCTGCCTTTGGCTCAGGGCATTATCCTGGGGTCCTGGGATTGAGTCCTGCATTGGGCTCCCTGTGATAAGCCTGCTTCTCCCTCTGCCTATGTCTCTGTCTGTGTCTCTCATGAATAAATAAAATCTTTAAAAAACAAAAATAAAAATAAAGAAAATGAATGCTACACTCTTCTTTTACTTAAGAGGGCTGCAAAATGCCTGTTTTAAGTGTAACCTGAACAGGTGGGTGATCTATGAGGAATTCTAATTTGCCAGGACTGATCAATTGTTTAGCTGAGAAGAAAACAGAGCCCACTAACCTGTTCAGGCTTTAGTCCTGTGAAACAAAACATGCCAATCTGGTCAGTGATGTGCTGCCAATTGTGGGAGGAGCCCTCCTTCTTGAGGTTGGAGACCAGCTGAGTACGCATGCTAATGATGCGGTCGGCCATGCCTTTTACTTCCTGCAACCTGCAAAAGAAAAAAAACAAAAACAAAAAACCCTGGGATGCAGCTCAATTCTGGACAAGCACTGACAGATAAGCCGCAGTTCACAGCAATTTTACCTTCCTTGAGGATTCCTCTAGTATGCTTTAATTCTTTGTCCTAGCCTAAGTCAAATGCTGTCACTGGTTCAGGAAATAAAAAGCTATTTTACAGCACTGTGCTCTATCAGAACACTACTTTGATCAGGCAGCTAAAATGACTAATAGAACAGAGTTACTAAGAAAGATGGGGGAAAAAAAAAAAAGAAAGATGAGGGGTACCTGGGTGGCTCAGTTGGTCAAATATCCGACTCTTCATTTTGGCTTACGTCATGATCTCGGGGTTGTAGGATTGAGCCCTGTATTGGGCTCTGTGTTCAGCATGGAGCCTGCTTCGGATTCTCTCTGTTCCTACGCCACCCACCCTCTGCTTTCTCTCTCTCCCAAATAAACGAATAGATCTTAAAAAAAAAAAAAAAAAAAAGGAATGAATGACCCAATTTTTTTTTTTTTAAGATTTTGTTTATTCATGAGAGACAGAGAGAGGCAGAGACACAGGCAGTGGGAGAAGTAGGCTCCCTGCAGGAGCCTGATGTGGGACTTGATCTCAGGACCTCGGGGTCATGCCCTGAGCCACCCAGGTACCCCCTTTTTTAAAAAAGATTTTATTCATTTATTCATGAGAGAGAAGCAGAGACCTAGGTAGAGGGAGAAGCAGGCTCCCTTTGGGGAGCCCAATGCGGGACTCAATCCCAGGACCCTAGTATCTCGACCTGAGCTGAAGGCAGACACTCCACCACTGAGCCACACAGGCATCCCCTTAGCAAATTTTTTATAAAAGGCTAAATTATAAATGTGTTAGGTCTTGTGGGCTATTTGCTCTCTGTCACAATTACTAAACTCTGCTCTATGGCACATAAGCAGCCATACATAATTCATCAAAAATGGGTGTAGCTGTGTGCCAACAAAACTTTGTAATAGAGGACAGACTAGATATGACCCAAGAACAGTTTGCCAACCTCTGATCAAATGTAAAGTTTTCTAAATTATGTGGCACCACCCATTCATATCTCATATATTCAAGGTAGTTGGATGCAACTGGCATTTAGAAAACATTAGAATATAATACATGAAGCCCAAGTATTGAGTTTTTGACAAACGTTTCAGTTACATGTATGTTTTATAGGTAATGTGTGTTCAGGGTCATGATACAAAATATCTGTTTTATGTGGACTACAAGAGACTGAGTAGCTAAGAGCAAGCACAGATGCCAAGAGATTCAGACAGTAAGCCTAATAAAACCCCAAGATATCATGTTCTTTTTTGTTTTATTTATTTATTCATGAGAGACAGAGAGATATAGAGGCAGAGACACAGGCAGAGGGAGAAGCAGGAAGCTTCCATGCAGGAAGCCCGATGCGGGACTTGACCCCAGGACTTCAGGATCACACCCTGAGCCAAAGGCAGAAACTCAACCACTGAGCCATCCAGGCGTCCCAAGATATGATGTCCTTAAAAAAGTTTTCCATGTAAGGCACTTCAATTTGAACTTCGGTTGAGGAGAGGGCAGATTTTACCTAACGTGGAGATGATGGAATAAAAAACCCTGCTGTTTCTGAATTACGTTTGTCTCCAATGTATTTATTTGAAAGGGCTAACAAAATGCACACTCCTCTCTCCTCTCTTCCCCTTCCACATGTAGAAGCTGTGTGATATTTTATGGCACTCCTTGCTGATTATAAACAAGATCTGAAAGATCAGTGGCAGGAAAGGCAGATGGCTGGGGAGTGGCAATGTGCTTTTACCATTGTTTTCGCAGGTCAGGGCTGGTCAGGATGGTTGAGGCAATTCGGGCCCCATTGATTGGAGGGTTGGAATACATGGGACGGATCAAGATCTTCAACTGTGACTCCACCCTTTTAGCTTCATCAGCATCCTTGCAGACCACAGTGAAGGCTCCTACACGCTCACCTGAAAAGACACAAATAGATCTTCTAGTTTTCCAATCTAACATGCTAAAGCAAATCACGATTCAATTTGCTAGATTTTATGCTTCCATCAGAAGTGCCATAAAAATATGTTATAAATAAAAAGGTTTCAACAACCAGTATGGTGAACCTAGAGACAACAGGAAGGTTGAGTACTCAAAAGTCTCTTTTTATTATATCCATCTTCTTGGCTCGTGGAGCAGTCACTTTTTGTTTAGAGAAGCAGTCATTAGTTTTCTCTGCTGGAAGAATTCAGGGACACGAAAGATGATGTGACTAAGATCAGTAAAATCCATGTCATCTTTTTTCTCTGTGTAACACACATACACATGTGCGTGTGGACAGACACACAGACACCCCAGCCCCCAAATTGTATCTCTGTGGCATCCTCTTCCAGCACTTCTTCAATCTCATCAGGACACACATCTCATGCACTGGGTGGGTCCCTTAGCTTACCGTATAAGCCCATGTTCTTGGCATAGGATTGGCAGAGACAAACATTAATGCCTTGTTCGATGAAGTGGCGTACAGCCCAGGCATCCTTGTTACCATCACCACTGGCAAAGCCTTGGTAGGCCATGTCAAAGAATGCAAAGAGATTATTTTTCTGGGAAAGAAAAGAGAAGAGCAAAGCTTTAGGGAGTCCCTCTCAAGATGTCCACATGCTTATTGGGACCATGTGTACCTCACATAGTTAACTCAATTTTTTCGCCCCAGTGGCATTTGGAGATGTTTAATTTTCCCTGAGTTAAGACATCATCATACAGATTTTTACTTTGGTGGATATGGCCCCTCACGAAGACATTAAGAGAAGATACTCTTAATTGCAATCTTCCCAGAAAGCTGCTTGATCAATTGGGAAGCTATTTTCAGGCTCATAGGAATTTGGGTAATTACTCTGGTCCAGTCAACACAGGACCAGCATCAGCCTAATGTAACTTTGGCAGCCTCATCTTACACCCAGGACTCATGGGAACCATCTCATCTCCAGAGTGCTCTCTGAATGCTCTCTTTTTATTTTCCTCTGTTTAATTCTGTTTGTACTCCAGGTTTGACAGAATATTAAGGGAAACCAAAAGAAGTGAAAATGGGGACACAAGGCAACAGGAATATTTTCCTTCTCTGGAATTTTTTAAGTAAACTCTCCCTCCAATGTGGCACTTGAACTCCTAACCCTAAGATCGTAAGTTCCATGCTCTACAAACTGAGCCACCAGGTGCCCCTCCTCCCTTAAAACTTTGACTAGTGCCTTCTCTGACAGCTGGTCCTCTGAATGATAATGGTCATGCTGAGAAAACAGGCAAGGATAGGAGACATGACAAAGTATATAAAGGACGAATAAGTAACGCTGACCAGGGCAAACGTAGGTGCTAATAACAGACATCCTGGGACCAGTGGATGCCCACTGTACAGGCTAACCAACCACAGAATTGATCAGAATTCCCTACATCCAGACTGAGGAACAAAAATTACTTTCAAGCTGTTCATGTGTCATCAGTTAAGAACTATGAATTATGCAGGGCGCCTGGGTGGCTCAGTCGATTAAGTGGCTGACTCTTGATTTCACTCAGGTTGTGATCTTGGGGTTGTGGGATGGAGCCCTGTATTGGGCTCTGTGCTCAGCAGAGTCTGGTTGAGATTCTTTCCCTCCTTCTGCCCCCTCCCCCCACTTACATGTACACTCCCTCTCTTCCTCAAATAAATAAAAATCTTAAAAAAAAAAAAAAAAGGAACTGTTAATTATGCAAATAAGTTTTTTCCTGACAACAATGTGGGCTCAAGGGTAACTAATTCTCACTGTTCAGACTTTGCCCAGTTAAGCATCTCATAAGGCCAGTTACCAAAGAGAGAAGTTTCCTTACCTTCACCACTGTTGCTATTTCCTTCCACTGTTCAGGGCGGGGGTCTACTCCCGTGGGATTGTGGGCACAGGCATGCAGGAGAAGAACACTTTGCTGTGGCATTTTCTAAAGAGACAGCCAACAGATAACTTTGCAGCTCTGAAGGAGATAATTTACCTAAAGTGTCACAGGGTCACTATTTTTGATCAATAACAGATAATCTGAGATCTGGGAATTAGTTGATCCTCAGTATTTTAAGTCAGCTATTGAGACTCAGCTGTGAAACATCAAATCTCTGCAAGGAGGTTTGTTCCAGTTCCTTCACCCCTCTTGCCCTGGAAGTCACACTTACCGAAATGTCCTCTACAGCGCCTGTGAAATCAAAGCCGCACGTCTTGGGGTCATAATATCGATAACCATGTAGCTGCATGCCAGCGTCCCTGAAGATTGGTGTATGGTTTCCCCAGGATGGTTTGGGCAGAAAGACATCTTGGCTGAACTTAAAAAATCTTTGCTAAAAAGTGGGATGAGGCGGAATGGAAAAGTGAAGAAGAGGAAAAAGAAAGAGTTGATGTATTTTATTGAAGAAGACATTTTCTTTTTTTTTTAAGATTTTATTTTTTCATAAGAGACAGAGAGAGAGGGGCAGAGACACAGGCAGAGGGAAAAGCAAGCTCCACGCATGGAGTCCGATGTGGGACTCAATCCCGGGACCCCAGGATCACGCCCTGGGCTGAAGGCAGGCGCTAAACCGCTGAGCCACCCAGGGATCCCAAGAAGACATTTTCTTTACTGAAACTCAGCTTATCTCTGAGTGAGAGATAGTAATGACTCAGCAGCAGCACTGTGAGTTGGAATCCAGGCTCTGACAAGTAAATTCACTGTGTAGCCAAGGACCTACCTGTCTGGCCCTCTCTTCATTTGTCAAATGGTGGGAGGTTCACCTCCTTCACAAAGATTAAATGAGTTAAAATAAAAGCTGGTAGTAACAGATGTGCTTAACAAATTATATTTATTATTATTCTATCTTCCTTTTAATTTCTTCTAAGAACTTTCACTCTTCTTAGCCTGATTCCATTTATCAGACTCCATTTATCCATTTTTCCAACTTTGTGGAAAGAAGGCAGCAAACACACATGCAATAGGAAACCCCATCATCCTCAACTTCCGGACTGTCTTACATCTTTCTCCTAAAGGAATTTCCAGACTCACCAGAAAACTGGCTCCAATCCTCAATGCCCCTGTTCCAGAAATGGTCTGCACGGTGACATACTGAAGGAGAGACAGCATGGTCAGTAACATGGGGCACTCTCTACAGGCCCACAACGAACAGAACCGAGGCCAGGCCCACAGAGGCACTGTTCTGTACAGTCAGTCCCCTTCCTTCTTCAGAATCTGAAGACAATGTTCCAAATTGTATTTGGAAATGAGCGAGAATGGCACTATTGTTTCATTTCCCCATTTCCTAAGAGATAGACCGACTCTCGCAGTGAGTCCTCAAACCATCTCTTTAGTTGCCAACACCCTTGCTGATGGAGAAGCTAACTCCTCATGGCTTATTATCAGTATCATACTGTATTATATGAGGAATGATCACCCATGAGAAAAGGCTGATTTACACAGAGAAAAAAAGACACTAAGAACAGTCACTATATTAAAATATTCCAGGGGCAGGAGAAGAAATGGAAAACCTAACAAACTCTTTACCAAACAAAATTTGTCTCTACAAACTTTGCCGTGACAGAAATAAAAACCCAATTGTGGGGGCAACTGGCTGGCTCGCTGGTGGAGCATGGGACTCTTGATTTAAGGGTTGTGAGTTTGAGCCCCACACTGGTTGAAGAGATTATTTAAAAAATAAAATCTTAAAACAAATTTAACTGTGGATCTGATAATACTAATAATTCACAAAGGCACAGCAACTTCTGGAACAAGCTGATGTTATTTTAGCTAGATAGATACAGATTAAGCAAAATTTATGTAATCTGTTTATAAGAAGTCTATGTTCAGTGACCTTTAGGGACATCTTTCTTCTACAATAAGAGGGTCCCCAGGGAGATAGGAGCTGATGCTAGGAGACACTTGTGTTTCCCCCCTCACTGCTGCATGATGCTCTCTGGACCGGAGAAGAGGGAGGCAGCAAGAAGGAAGCATGGTCTGCTCTCTCTTAATGTCCAAACTGGCTGTGAAAGGGCAGCAGAGCAGTGCCAGACTGGTCTTGTCCCCCAGAGCCCTGCCTGTGTGCTTCTTCCATCTAAGCTGCAAGCTGAGAACATTAGGGTAGCAGCTAATTATTGGCCTAAAATTGGGCATAGTCTGGCATTTCTAAAACATATTCAGTGTAAAATGAGCATAAGCACACACAGAGCAATCAATGTCAACTCTTCAGTCAAATTATTCTTCCATTTCAGGATTACTGCTATATTTTTGGAATTGGTTATATGAAATCTTTGATTTAATAAATGCCATCTTACTTCCTAAAGAAGAGATATTAGCAGTAGTGTGGTCACCTCAAAACAATCATCACAAAGTGATATCTGTATTTATTTATTTAAATTATTTCAAATTTGTTAAACTGTTAAATTTAAAATTTAAAAACAGACTACATGATACCAGAGTCTGCTCTGCTTACCCGGCTACTTTTCAACACTTCATTGTTCTCACCCAGAGCTAGTTCTGCAGATGCCTTACAAAATTCAGCAAGTCCAGCAATGGGCAGGTATTCTTTGTCCAAATTTTTTGCAGCAATCTGGGCCTCTGCCTAGAGGTGAGAAAGGTATCCTCTTAGTTTCTTCTCCTTACATGCAATTACTCTGATTGATATTTAATGTTTTATAAATTCAATTTATATATTAAATATAAAGGAAGTAAAGCCTTGTTTTTATCTGGAAATACTGTCCAAGAAAAAGGATACATAGTACACCTGAAACTAATATAACATTGTATGTTAACTAAATGGAATTTAAATAAAAACTTGAAAACACATACCAAAAAAAATATATAAAGTAAAATACTTACTATTTTATATTGTAGAATAGAAATATTTGTAATTTTTAAAGTAATATTTTTTCTTTTACAACTAGGTTTTTTTTTTTTTTTTTTTTTTTTTTTTAAATTTTTATTTATTTTATGATAGTCACACAGAGAGAGAGAGAGAGAGGCAGAGACATAGGCAGAGGGAGAAGCAGGCTCCATGCACCGGGAGCCCGACGTGGGACTCGATCCGGGGTCTCCAGAATCGCGCCCTGGGCCAAAGGCAGGCGCCAAACCGCTGCGCCACCCAGGGATCCCTACAACTAGGTTTTATATGGATGAGTACGCAATGTTCTCTTGGTTGATATGAAACATAAAATGGCATTCTTCAAATGCACAAGAACAAAGTTTATGAGCAATGCTTTAAAGATATAATAAAATCAAACTAAATACATAGAAAAGAAGTATTTCAAGATATATGCTAGTCTAAGAATTTCAAAGAGTTACTAGTAACAGCCACATCTCTTAATGCTTTGGAGATAGGTGTGCTGTCCCTTATTAGCTATGTGACCCTGAGCAAATCAGTAACCTTCCTGAGCTTCAGTTTCTTCACCTGTTGAATGGGAGAACAAACTGTTGCTATGACTCTTACGGTTGGGTGAAGACCTGATGAAGGAACATACAGCAGTGTGTGGTGGTATTCCAGCTTGTAAAATAGCTAATACTTGTCGAGTACTTGATACTGAGACCAGAACAATTCCTGCATGACTTGAGACACGGGAGCCAGCAATTTTAAATGGGTTTTTTCATCACGATTGTTTCTTGAGTCCTTTTTTCTATTCAGAGAGTTCTAGAGATGACCCTTAATCTATACACTTAAAATTTCTTCTTTCAGGGGTTCATTCAGCTCATTTTCTATTACTTCAGTGGCCTGAGCCATGAGGGCCTGAGCCAACCTGCTGCAGGGTGGTGAAGCTCAGATTATGGAGTGCCTTACCTTCACCCAGAAGTATTTTTTTTAAGATTTTATTTATTCATGAGAGATACACAGAGAGAGAGAGAGAGAGAGAGGGGCAGAGACATAGGCAGAGGGAGAAGCAGGCTCCATGTAGGGAGTCCGACACAGGACTTGATATCGGGACCCCAGGATCATGCCCTGAGCTGAAGGCAGGGCTGAGCCACCCAGGCATCCCACCCGGAAGTATTATTTGTAACTTTCACTCACTGTGCCCAGTTCTGCTGTATGGAGAATGATGCATCGCTACCTCACTTTTGGAAATGACAAAGAAGCATTCATATATCAACAGAGGTGGTGTAGATGGAAAGGAAACCATTCTAAGGGGATTAATTATTTAAAGTTACAGTGATAACCAACAGAAAGACTACTGAAAAAAATACAACAAAAATAAAGCGTATTACTCTATAGCTCAATAGGAAGAGAGGACAGAGCATGCCTGTGTAGGAGAGCTTATTAAGGCAATCAACACGAGAGAAATGGAAAATAATGGCAGTAACCCTCCTCCACAAAGGGCTATTCTTACCACCAAGAAGCAATGTTTAAATTGTCAGTCCTTTTGTGCACCCTCAGGATTAAACATGATGATGTATCTGCTTACAGATAATCACATAAATTCAATCTTGAAAAAGACCACGTAGTTACAATATGTCACTATTGGAGCTAAGGAGACCATAGCCCAGACGACCTGAGTGATTCAAGGAGTTAATGCCAGGACTAGAACCCAGGTCTCCGGACTCCTAGCCCTGCACTCTTTCTGCTACTCTTCAGGAGCTTCAGTTTATCTCTCCCAAGAAGGCAGGGGACAGATGGCAAACTCACCTTCCGGACACTAGGGAGCACATAAGGCTTTCCATTATCATCCCGATAGGCGCCAACTCCCAGATTCATCTTTTTGCTGTTAGTGTCTCTCTTAAAGGCTTCTGTGACTCCCAGGATGGGGTCTGGGGGCCCCATTTCCACATGGGTCCACCAGGAACTGAAATGGGAAATAAAAGATGTGAGATACAGTAGTTAGACTTCCAGGGCCAGAGACAGCTCAGATCCTTCAAAAATCCATTTCAAAGCACTTTACAGAGGAGTATGGGAGACCAAATATTTGCAAGTGCAACGAGGAGCAGGAGGGAAATACCCCAATCACCCTGGGAGGACAGGGTGCATGTATAGACTTTCAAAGCAGTCCAAACCCGACTCAAATTCCCAAAGACTATTTCATATAATGTGGCTGTGAGAAACTGAGAGTGGTAAGAGATGACCAAAAGAAGGACGACTGTAAGAATATTATGTGACACCCTCTCGCTCCCCAAAGGTATTTGGGTTGTAACCTGTTCTCAAACTTATTAAAGGGTAGCATTTGGAGAGCTTGTTAAAAACATAGGTTCTTGTGTCCCATCTTGGATATAGTGAGAACATGTAGAGTCATTAAAGTTTTTTTTAGGGGAGGGGGCAGGTTGATTAAGTGGAATGACACGAGTAGCCTTGCAGTTTTAGAGCCCATCTGGTTGCAAAGTAGGGTACTAAATGCAGAGTGGTAAGAGCAGATGCAGAAGGATCACTGGTTCATTACTTGGCAAAAGAGATAGAGATGAGGGCCTAAACCAGGACAGGACAGGAGGGGGTATAGAGGAAGACAGAATTTTGAGGTATTTAGGAATTAAAAATCAACAGGAACTAGTTATAACATGCTGTTGTTACTAAGTTAAAATGCTTACTACTAAGCTAAAATACTAGATGTTATTCTACATGTATACGAGTCATGATTTTACCTTAAAAAATTATCCCTTAAAAAAAATGATCCCTTAGCAGACTTAGGGGGTCATCCACCTGGGCCAGGTGAACTTTGTTGCTAGGAAGTATACCTCATCTTTCTTGGTGCCCTGAGGTAATCTCAAGAGGCAACAGACTTTATTTTTTTAAAGATTTTATTTATCTATTCATGAGAGACACAAAGAGAGGCAGAGACATAGGCAGAGAGAGAAGCAGCCTCCCTGTGGGGAGTCTCCCCTGATGCAGGACTTGATTCTCGGACCCTGGGATCATGACCTGAACCAAAGGCAGATGCTCAACCACTGGGCTACCCAGGTGCCTCAACATATTTTTTTTTTTTTTTGAAAAAATTATCTTCATTCTTTTTAGAGAAAGAAGGCGGGGGTGGTGGTGGAGGGAGAGAATCTTAAGTAGGCTCCATGCCCACCACTGAGCCCAACATCGGGCTTGATCTCATGACCCTGAGATCATGACTTGAGCCAAAATCAAGAGTTGGATGCTTGGATGCTTAACTAAGCCACCCAGGTGCTTCCCAAAATTATCTTTATTATAAGTAAAATATACAGCTGCCTAAATACGGCTTCCTGCTGTGGGGGACAATTATTTGGCTCGTATCTTTCCTGCTTTTCCTGATTCAAAGAAACCACTCTTAGGACCGGGCCCCATTTTCCATTCTCTTCTCTTCCTTTGGAAGAGAAAGGTTACGAAGGGTTGTCGATTTCTCAACTTTCAAGAAGGCAATATGGAAAAGGAAAGGATGTCACAGCCCTTTGGTCCAGTATTATGCCCAGCCCCATCCCTCAGTATTTGTTGATGCCAAAGAGATAAGCCTCATGGAACTGGGGTAGTTTAAGCAGCAGTATGCTGAGCAATGAGGCTGTGTTGATGAGGAAGTGAACAGCATCATACTTGGTGTAGAAGTAGGCCAGGAGATAGAGTACAATAGGAGAGATGCTGAGAAATTTGAGGGAAGAGGTAAATTGGAGCTTGTAGTCCATCAAGGAAAGCCAAACCTTTCCTTGGTCAGGGGTGTCAAAGGGTGTCCCTTTCACTGTATATATTAAAAAGACATAAATAGCCAAGTTATGGATGATATTGGTCAGGGTCCAGACAACACGAATACTGAAGGATAGCCCTGACTATTCATCACTCGAGTGTTAGGGTTTACTTGCTGTGTGCCACCCCCACATTCGTCCTGCTGGCTTCAGAAGCTTTTCCGGCTGGAAGCACGGCACTCACTTCCATACCCGCAGGCTCCAGGGAGCAGTCCGAGGCAAAAGAACTTTAAATAACTTTCTCTGGTTCCCCACCTGCTACTGATTGGGGGCTTTGTTTCCAGTTTACCGATGGCCAATTGGCTATTTTTCGTTGGCAGCAATGATTGTGAATCTGGTTTTATGGTCTGACCATTCAGTAAACTCTGAAAAAGGGTAGCAGAGATCTATTCTCTGTTGGGTGAGAAATTACACATAATCTGGTTTGTTTGACTTTGTTTTTTTTTGTTTTGTTTTTAAGATTTTATTTATTTATTCATGAAAGACACAGAGAGAGGCAGAGACATAGGCAGAGGGCGTAGGCTCCATGCAGGGAGCGTGATGTGAGACTTGATCCCAGGACCCTGGGATCATGCCCTGAGCCAAAGCAGATGCCCAACTGCTGAGCCATCCAGATGTCCCGACTTTGTTAATTTGAAGCTTAAATCAAGAACTTTGCAGCTCCGGGGTGCTTGGCTGGCTCATCAGCAGAGCACACGACTCCTGATTTTGGGGTTGTGGGTTCAAGCCCCAAGTTGGGAGCAGAGATTACTTAACATCTTTTAAAAAAAGACTTTTGCAGCTCTTTTTAATATCATAGCTGTGAGGTTTTTGTTTATTCTTGGCCTGTGACTTAAGTTATAGACCCGAAGAACTGTAGAATCTGTGTAATTCAGAAAGGTTTTGTTTACCTCTGAGTGTCTGATGTGAAATGTTTTCCAGCTCTGTAGGGTACTGATAAATTGGGATCATAAAAATCGTAAACATCCGACTTTTATTCTCAGGGTCCTGAGTTCAAGCCCTGTGTTGGGCTCCATTTAAAAAAAAAAAAAAGGTGCTCTGTTCTGGTTGTATTATAGAGATTGAATTTCTAGTACTTTAAATGTGCTAAAGTTTTTTTCTTTTGAAAAAAAGAGATTTTTTTTTTTTTAACTTATTCATGAGAGACACAGACACAGGCAGAGGGAGAAGAAGGCTCCATTCCATGCAGGGAGCCTGACGTGGGACTTGACCCTGGGTCTTCAGGACCACACCCCGGGCTAAAGGTGGTGCTAAACCGCTGAGCCACCCGGGCTGCCCTAAAGTTTTTTTTTTTTCTTAAACTCAGAAATGTTTAAAAAAAAAAAATTCAAGTTCACATCAGTGATATAAACCTTGGAGACTAGTTTAACAGATTTTTTTAAATTTTTTTTTATTTTTTTATTTATGATAGTCAGAGAGAGAGAGAGAGAGAGAGAGAGAGAGAGAGAGAGAGAGAGGCAGAGACACAGGCAGAGGGAGAAGCAGGCTCCATGCACCGGGAGCCCGATGTGGGATTCGATCCCGTGTCTCCAGGATCGCGCCCTGGACCAAAGGCAGGTGCTAAACCGCTGCGCCACCCAGGGATCCCTAGTTTAACGGATTTAATCAAAATAGCTAGGTCTTTTATTTATTCATGGTAAGTATAATGTAAGCATACATTTTATTCTGTGTGGCTTTGTTTTTCCTAAACTTATATTGGTTAACTGATACTATAAGCTAATATTATTCCTATACAATGTTTAAAATTATGAAAAATGTAAATTTGTGTTCAGCTAATTATTATTCTGACATATTTTTACCTCACATTTGTCAGAATAGCTAAAATCAAAGACCCAAAAACAAGCATTGGCTAGGATGTGGAAGAAAAGGAACCCTCGTGCACTGTTGGTGGGAATGCAAGGTATAGCAGCCACTATAGGAAAGAGTATGGCAGTTTTTCAACAAATTAAAAATAGAGGGCACCTGGCTGGCTTAGTCAGTAGAGCATGCAACTCTTGACCTCAGGGTTGTGAGTCTGAGCCCTATGCTGGGTGTTGAGATTACTTAAAAAAAAAAAAAAAAAAGTTAAAAAAAAGATTAAAAATAGAATAACCATAATATCCAGTAATTCCACTACTGGGTATTTACTCAAAGAAAGCAACAAGAAAAATAATTCAAAAAGATATATGCCACCATATGTTGTTTGCAACATTATTTACAATAGCCAAGATATGGAAGCAACCCGAGTGTCATCTATCCATAGATGAATGGATAGAGAAGATGTGATACGATGGAATATTACTCAGCCATAAAAAAGAATGAAATCTTACCATTTGCAACAACATGGATGGATCTAGAGGGTATAATGCTAAGTGAAATAGGTCAGAGAAAGACAAATACCGTAAGATTTCACTCCCATGTGGAATTTAAAGAAACAAATGAGCAAAGAAAAAAAAGAGACAAAAAACCAGACTCTTAAATACAGAGAATGGATGGTTTCCAGATGGGAAGAGGTGGATGATGAGTGAAACAGGTGAAGAGGAGTAAGAGTACACACACTTTTTTTTTTTTAAAGATTTTATTTATTTATTCATGAGACACACACACAGAGACACACGAGACATATGCAGAGGGAGAAGCAGGCTCCCTGTGGGAAGCCCAAAGTGGGACTCAATTCCAGACCCCGGGATCATGCCCTGAACCAAAGGCAGATGCTCAACTGCTGAGCCACCCAGGCATCCCAAGAGTAAACACACACCTTGGTAAGGATTGCCTATCATACAGAATTGCTGATCATTATATTGTACACCTGAAACTAATATAACACATTTATATTAGTATAAATACAATAAATATTAGTATAAATGCAATAATATAATATATAATAGTATATTATAGTATATATATACTATATATATTATAGTATATAATACTAATAAATCTTAGTATAAATGCAAGTGTGTGTGTGTATATTTATATATATATATAAAACACAGGTTATACTTGCAATATGAAAGATCATACAAGGACAAAACTTGGAAAATGAAGTTTGTCTTGATTCATTAGAATTTAGTCTGAAAAGAAACTATGAAATGTGTTAACATTTTAAAAATGTTTGCCGGGATCCCTGGGTGGCGCAGCGGTTTGGCGCCTGCCTTTGGCCCCGGGCGCGATCCTG